TATCGTCTGCAAACTTAGCCAGAATGCCCACAGTTCCTTCATTGAGAACATTTAATGTACAAAGTGAAAGATTGTGGTCCCAACACTGACCCTTGTGGAACACCACTTGTCACCGCCTGCCATCCTGAGAAAGACCCCTTTATCCCCTCTCTCTGCTTTCTCCCAGACAGCCAATCTTCTATCCATGCTAGCACCTTGCTTCTAACACCAAGGGCCCTTATCTTACTGTGCGGCACCTTGATCACTAGGAGTTCTGGAGTCATACCGAGACACGGTCTGGGGAAGGATGACAGATTTCCCCCCGCCGAGTGAACTGGACGGGAATTCTGCGATGGGGATTGGCAGTTTGGTCACCACTCAAGATGAGGCTTTTGCTTTAAAAATTCCAGATTTGTCTGGGGACTGAGCTCTAACGAAAAGACATTAAAACATGAGGTTGTCGACTTGCTCGTCCGAGCTGGCTTGTTCTCGTTCAGGCGTTTCGTCACCACGCTAGAAACAAGCCAGCTCGGCGAGCAAGTCGAGAACCTCATCCACAACCCGAGCTACAGATCTTTGCCAAAACTTTAAACGTTAAAATATAAACAGGGGCCTCAGGGTCTCCTCGCTTAAAGGCCTGACTCCAAGCTGGCCGGCCACAGCTAATATACCATGCACACATAAATACAAGTTCCAGTCTCCTATGAGAAGCAGATGGTGCAGTTACCACTGATGGTGGTAAAAGGCTGGGGCCCAAGCCTATTGGGGGCGGAACTGGCTGAGAGAGATTCACCTTGATCGGCAAGGCGTTTTTTGATAAAGTCAAAAATTCCAGATTTTTACAGAATTCTAGGTACACCACCTGCCCTCGGCAGCATTCAAATCCTTGTTCCCCAAGAGCATTAACTCTGGGTTACAGATTCCTGCTATTAACACCTCTCCAACAAAGTCATCACTCCCTCCAGCTATCCCTGGTGCCACCCTACAGAGGCAGCCGAATGTGCTCTCGCCGAGGCCATGCGCAGCTGCGGTAAAATCCGCCTACTGCCCCCTTATTTGGAGGCAAGGGCAGGTTCGAGAGGCCGAACAGCTTTGTCCTGCGTCTGAGCATTGAGCTCCTCTGTTCTCGCCTCCCTGTGCGGGTGAGTCAGGCACAGCGAGAATCTGAGACCTCACCTTTGTGAAGCCTTTCTCCTCCAGCCGCCCTCCCAGAACCAGACCGATTCCTGCCAGCTCTTTCACAGACTTCTCCTTCATGGGCTCCACCACAAAGTTCTTGTGCTTCTGCGACGTTGTGTTGGCCATAGGGCAGATAGCGGTGCGATCTGCAACGGAGAGAGACGTGCACACACGCATTCAGCGAGAGAGAGGACAGCAGAGGCCGGTCATCTTTTACTTACCAAGCCCACAAATTCCTGCACAAACCGAAAGAACTGCGGATGCTGTAAATCGGGAACAAGTTGCTGGAAAAGCTCAGCAGGGTCTGGCAGCGTCCGTGAAGAAAAAAAGTCAGTGTTTAACGTTTCGGGTCCGGTGACCCATCCTCAGAAATTCCTGTAGCCTGGAATACAGTCACCAACATCTCCGGGATTCCCATTCCAATCCCTGACCCCAAACATAGCTCCCTTCCACATCACGGCAATTTATCGTGACAAAAATTCAAGCCCCTCCTAAATCTCTATCCCTTTGCTAATGAATCCTCCTGCTGGATTTTCCTTCGATGTGCCATAATTCTGAGAAGTTTGTGTCACAGGTAGACAGGATGGTTAAGAAGGTGTTTAGCATGTTTATGTTCATTGTTCAAACCTTTGAGTATAGGAGTTGGGACGTTATGTTGAGGTTATACAGGACGTTGGTGAGGCTTCTTCTGGAGCACTATGTCCAGTTCTGGTCTCCCTGTTATAAGAAGGATATTTTAAAGCTGGAGAGGTTTCAGAAGAGATTTGCCAGGATGTTGCCGGAAATGGAGGGTTTGTGTTTTAAGGAAAGGCTGGGTCTTTTTTTTTCACTGGAGTGTAGGAGATTAAGAGGCGACCTTATAGAGGTTTATTAAATCGTGAGGGGCATAGATAAGGAGAATGGTAGGTGTCTTTTCCTTCGGGTGGGGGATTTCAAGTCTAGGGGCATATTTTTAAGGTGAGAGGAGAAAGATTTAAAAAGGACAAGGGGCAACTTTTTTACACAGAGGGTGGTTTGTGTGTGGAATGAAGTTCCAGAGGAAGTGGTGAATGCAGGTACAGCTATGTTTAAAAGGCATTTGGAAAAGTTCATGAATAAGAAATGTTTGGAGGGATATGGGCCAGGTGGGCCTGCTTTAGTTTGGGATTATGGTCAGCATGGACTGGTTGGGCCGAAGGGTCTGTTTCCATGCTGTGTGAGTCCAGGACTGGATTAAGGCCCCTCATGGTTTTGAATGCCTCAAATAATTTTCCCCTTAAGCTTCTCTGTTCAAAGGAGCACAACCCTAGCCTCTCCACACTAATTGAAATCCATAAATCTCTTCCAATTCCTTGGACAGGGATCACTGGTCAGTCCTGTCAATCCTCTCACTACATTCGATTCTCTGCCAACTACCTCCCACTTTCTCTCTCTTTTCTCTCCCTCTCTCATACACATACACACTCCCTTTCTCTCTCTCACCTGCACTCTCTCTCACAAACACATGCATACTGTCTCCCTCTCTCTCTCTCTCACACACATGCACACTCCCTCTCTTGCACTACCTCTGTCTTTCTCACACACACACTCTCTCCCCCTTTCTGTCTCTCTCATGCACACTCCCTCTCTCGCACTACCTCTCTTTCTCACTTGCACTCTCCCTCTCTCACACATGCACACTCCTTCCCTCTCTCTCTCTCTCCCACACATGCATACTCTCTCACACATTCTGTCTCTCTCATGCACACTTCTCTGCCCCTCTCTCTCTCTATCTCACGCACACGCAACACTCCTTTTCTCTCTCTCACATGCACTCTCTCTCACAAACACACGCAAACTCTCTCCCTCTCTCTCATACATGCACACTCCCTTTCTCTTTCACTACCTCCCTCTCTCACACATGTACACTCTCTCCCCTCTCTCTCTCTCTCACACCCTCTCTCTCACTCTCTCTTTCTGTCTCTCTCCCCTCTCTGCATATTTCTCTTTCTCCCTCTCTTTCGGTCACCCTCCCTCTCCCCCCTGTCTTTCTCACACTCTGTGCTCCCTCTCTTTCTCTCCCTGCCCGCTCTCCTCTCTCTATCTCTCTCTCCCTACTCACTTTCCCTCTCTCTCCTGCTCTCCCTCTCCCTCTTCACCCCCCTCCCTTCCTCCCCCTCCCTCATGGGGATTCTTGCAGCTGTGATCCAGTGGATTACTGGCTACAAACAGACACACACTGAGCCATAACTGCAACGCAGAGGATCCCCGAGATCTGGAACAGTTCCTGTTGAGAGGGACGTCGCACGAAAGACAAAGAGAAATGGGAGAGAAACACAGAAGGCCAAAGGATGGAGGCAGCGGGTGTGTGAGAGAGAGACAGACCAAAGTAGAGTGGAAAAGATAATGGTGAACAACTACAAAGTGAGGCAAGCACTCAAAAACGCCATGGAGTTAAGCGAAAAAGGATTCCACTTCACAAACAAGATTCAGGACATATAGTCAGCAAGACAAGCAAATCTCCTAGGTTATAAAAGTCACCAGAAGTGTATATATATTTGACAATTCAATGAATTATTGAACAAAACATGATTACAGAAAATCCACAATGTAGTAGAGCTTATATATCCATCTTGTAAATGAAGGAGACTGTCATTTTGTTTTCTATTCTTTTTGTGGGATGTGGGCGTTGCTGGCTGTGCCCAGTATTCCTCGGCCCGTCCCTAGTTGCCCCTTGAGAAGGCGGTGGTGAGCTGCCTTCTTGAACCGCTGCAATCCGTGGGTTATGGGTTGACCCACAATGCCTTTAGGGAGGGAATTCCAGGATTTTGACCCAGTGACAGTGAAGGAACAATTTTGCAACAAATTGGAATTAAACGTGCAGTGAAATGGTCTGCATGGTGTAATCTCCTCAATGCTTTATACGTTATGTTTAATGAGGTGGTTGTTTATAACCATGTTGTGCGTTTCTAAAAATTTCATTTGCATCCTTAGCACACACTTCTGCACCTGCCATCATAATGATTTCTTAATAAACAAAAAAATCCAGACATTCATTCATCTTTCTGAATGACTGCCTGTCCACCTGTTTATTCATCTGTCTACATGTTTGTCTCTCTGTCTGTGTATTTGTCCCTGTCTTTCTATTTGTCTCTGTTTGTCTGTCTCTCTGTCTATCTATCCACCTGTAGCTTTCCTTCTATCTCTCTATCAATCTATGTCTCTACCAGTCAACCTCTTAGTCAATCTATCTTTGAATCTGGGACTCAGATTGATTGAAAATGTGAGATAGTGAGACAGACACATGGAAAGGTAGAGCAAGACAGTGAGAGGAAGAGATGTAGTGAGGGAGAGTGAGAATGAGACAGACACGTGGACAGAATAGAGAGAATGAGGCAGTGAGAGAAAGC